TGTCTCAGTCTGTCACAGAGACACCTGGACATGTCTCAGTCTGTCACAGAGACACCTGGACATGTCCCGTTCCATCACAGGGACACCTGGACATGTCTCATTCCATTACAGAGACACCTGGACATGTCTCAGTCTGTCACAGAGACACCTGGACATGTCCCGTTCCATCACAGGGACACCTGGACATGTCTCAGTCTGTCACAGAGACACCTGGACATGTCTCTGTCCATCACAGAGACACCTGGACATGTCTCTGTCTGTCACAGAGACACCTGGACATGTCTCAGTCCGTCACAGAGACACCTGGACATGTCTTTGTCCATCACAGAGACACCTGGACATGTCTTTGTCCATCACAGAGACACCTGGACAGGTGTCTCTGTCCATCACAGAGACACCTGGACATGTCTCAGTCCATCATAGAGACACCTGGACATGTCTCTGTCCATCACAGAGACAACTGGACATGTCTCAGTCCATCATAGAGACAGCTGGACTGGTCTCAGTCCATCATAGAGACACCTGGACATGTCTCTGTCCATCAGAGGGACACCTGGACATGTCTCTGTCCATCACAGAGACACCTGGACTGGTCTCAGTCCATCATAGAGACACCTGGACATGTCTCAGTCCATCACAGGGACACCTGGACATGTCTGCAGTCCATCACAGAGACACCTGGACATGTGTCTGTCCATCATAAAGACACCTGGACATGTCTCAGTCCATCACAGAGACACCTGGACATGTGTCTGTCAATCATAGAGACACCTGGACATGTCTCAGTCCATCACAGAGACACCTGGACATGTGTCTGTCCATCATAGAGACACCTGGACATGTCTCAGTCCATCACAGAGACACCTGGACATGTCTCAGTCCATCACAGGGACACCTGGACATGTCTCAGTCCATCATACAGACACCTGAACATACCACCTAACAGTCATGTTTTTGGTCTGAGGAAGCTGGAATACCTGAGAAAACCCACACATGCATGGAGAGAACATGCAAACTTTACCCAGAAATGTCCCAGGGCCGGGATTAGAACTGGCAACCTTCTTGGCATAGGTGTAGGTATCAGTGCCGCCCTATTTCTGTTTTATTTATTCCAAATTGAGTTGATCATGTATTACTTCAGTGTTTATAAGAGGATGTGTTTAAATGCTGTTTCTATCCAGGAAATACCAGGTAGAGCTCAGTTACTGTTTGTGCTCAGCTGTAGAAACAAGACGTTTCATGTCTACTTGAAGTTGAAGACAAAACGTTGAAATTAAACTCTACATGATAATGTTTGAACAGATTGTTGTTTGTTAGTAATAATAACTAATAACTAATTAATTAAGTTTGAACCTGACGTAACGCAGTTAAAATAAAAACATGTAACTGAAATAATGAACTTCCCAGATATTTGATCAATTAAGTATCTCTCATCAGTTAACAAAGCTTTAATGAGCAGGACATGAGGATGTSTTGGTGCATTATGAATATTTATTACCTAAAAACCATCAWAAACTGGATCAAAGTGATGTCACTGATAATAAATGACATCATTGTTTAACATGAAATAAAACCAGGATGTTGTAATATTTTATAACAGGATAATATACATCCTGAGGCAGTGCAACAACTACATGCTTTAAATGTTTAAATTTAAATCTTTCTGATGCATTTTTAGACTGGATCTACACGTCTTCATCCAGACACACTGAAGAAACAAGTAACGCAAAGAACACAAAGGACACACAAAAACCTGTCGTCATTAAAGCCCTGCAGAAACACAACAGCTACACAACAGCAGGAGCTTTAAAAGTCTGCATCATCTGCACCGTTTGGAGGAAAAACCGGACAATAACACACAAATGAGAGAATTATGTAACACAACACACACACAGCCTTTATAACACAATCACGCATTCATGCACACATCTCCCATCCTGATGTTAATGAGACAGGTTTTTATTTTACCTGCTTAAATCATTCATCCTGTCGTCCTACATTAAATAAATGTTATTTTCAGCAGCAGTCAGAGGATGATAAGAAAATAAATATAAATGAAGGATTTAACGGTTAGCTTTAGCTAAACGAWCCCTGCAGGCATTTAGACAATTTACTGATTTAAATAATCATTTTAGTTGGTAAAATCAGACTGTTTATAAAATGTAATTATTATAACAGACTCCACATCATTTGTTTTCTCCTCACCGTTCCTTCAGGACTCCTCCAGCCTCCTCCACCGGAGCTTCTGTCCGTTACCGAGCAGCACCGAGGACCGCAGCAGCTGCACAGCGCGAGCCGCAGATGCTTCTGATGTCCGGCAGCAGCCAATCAACAGCCGCTTCAACACACAGCGGACCAATCACAGCACAGACATGCTCWTAGGAGGGGCTTCGCTCTGAAGACTGGGGCGTGGTGCATTCAAGTGCCGTAGGAAAACTGCTGATTTCACTCAAGGTTCATATATACACTGTGATTTACACTCACCGGCCACTTTATTAGGTACACCACGCTAGTAACAGGTTGGACCCCCTTTTGCCTTCAGAACTGCCTCAATTCTTCGTGGCATAGATTCAAC